GGCGGGCGAGGGCGGGGGGAGCCGCAGAGATGCCGTGGTGGGACCCCACGGGGCTGCAGAGGGAGGCTGGAGCCCGCAGGGGGGACGAAGGGGGAAGGGGCCTCTGGAGGGGTCTTCTCCAGCCCCCTGCTCCGAGCAGGGACGGCCGCGGGGTCAGGTCAGGTCACGCAGGACACCGAGGCCACGCAGCCCCGGTGCCACGAGCGGACAGAGGAACCCAACGGCAGCAGGACGGGGCACCTCGTACCTGGAGGGATCCCGGCGCCGGCTTCGCCCTGGTGCGTCCTTCGGCAGAGGCCTCTGGGAGACGCCTGCTGACGGCACGTCCCCTCTGCTCCCGCAGATATCAAAGAGCACGTGAAGCAGCTGGAGAAGGCTGTCTCGGGGAAGGAGCCGCGCTACGTCCTGCGCGCCTTGCGGGCTCTGCCCTCCACCTCCCGCCGACTCAACTCCAACGTGCTTCACAAAGCCATCAATGGCTTCTTCACTTCCAACAGCACCATGCGGGACTTCCTCCTCGGCTTCCTGGAGGAGGTACGGCGGCAGGGGATGGGGAGAGACGACCGGCTGCGGAGGGGACACTTTTCCTGCACCGAGGGGCCTCTGGAGTGCCGCTGCGCAGGGTGGGAGGGCACTGGGAACAGCAAGGGCTTGGGGATGCTTGGGACAGGCAGCCCGGCTGCTCGGGAGCGCACGTGAGATGCGATGGGTCGCTGCAGCTCTTGGCAGGGATGGGACTGTAGTGCCGGCAGCCTGGGCTGGCTCTCTTGTCACACCTCAAGCAGAGCTGTCACCGGGCTGGGGACGGGCCTCGCTGCAGGCGGAGGCATGAGGAGCGCTGGGCGGGCGGTAGCGGCGCCGGCGGGCCGGGAGGGACGGGGGTCCAGCACGTCTCTCCCCCCGCCCCCAGTCCATGGACACAGAAGCAGAGCTGCAGTTTCGCCCGCGGATGGGGAAGGCGGCCTCAGCCCCTCTCTTGCCAGAAGTGGAGACCTACCTCCAGCTGCTTCTCGTCATCTACCTGATGAACAGCAAGCGATACCCGGAGGTGAGGTTCCCTGAGCTGCCGGCTCCGAAGCCGAGCTCTTCGTGTGGTGCTCCTGCGCCAGGCAGGGTCTGGAGAGCCTCAGGGACCTGCCTCTCCGTGGCCCCACGCTTTCCCCTTTGTTTCAGCTGTGTTTGGAGGCAGCCCCCGGGCTCAGTCCCGTGGCCCTGGCAGTCTCTTTGCTCTTCCCGGGCAGCGGTTCCTCTCCTCTGACCTCCGTTCCCCTCCTGCAGGCTCAGAAAGTGTCCGACGACCTGATGCAGAAGATCAGTTCCCAAAACCGCCGGGCCCTTGACCTGGTGGTGGCAAAATGTTATTACTACCACTCCCGCATCTACGAATTCCTGAATAAACTCGACGTGGTCAGGAGGTAGGGTGGATCCCGCGTGCCGGCTCTCCCTGAGCTTGGTCCCGCGCGCCCCGGTGAGCGGGGCTGTTTCTTTCCTCCTCCCGGACACGCTCTCTCCCTTTCCTGTAGCTTCCTGCACGCCCGGCTACGGACGGCCACGCTGCGCCACGATGCGGACGGGCAGGCCACCCTCCTGAACCTGCTGCTGAGGAACTATCTCCACTACAACCTCTATGACCAAGCAGAAAAGCTCGTCTCCAAGTCCGTGTTTCCCGAGCAGGCCAACAACAACGAGTGGGCTCGGTACCTCTATTACACAGGTGAGGCGCAGAGGGTCCCGCACAGCGCTGGCGGCTCGGGCTGCACCCGAGATCGAGGGCTCTGGTTCCTCAGAGAACCTGTTTGAGCAGCGGGAGATGGGGCTTCCAGGCAGGATTGGAGGCTCCATCCGGGTGGATCCTGTTGGATTCACTCGGTGGCTTTTCCAAACGCCTTCTGCCCCGTGTGAACGCAGGGCGCATCAAGGCCATCCAGCTGGAGTACTCGGAGGCACGGAGGACCATGACGAACGCCCTGCGGAAGGCACCGCAGCACACGGCTGTTGGCTTCAAGCAGACGGTGAGCGGGGACGGGAAGAACGAGCGCTTGCGGGGTCCGGTACCTCCTGGGTCCCCAGGGAAGCTGCCTCCGGGGTCGGGCCCCGCGGGGGGACTCACGGCCTCTTTCTGCTCAAGGTGCACAAGCTGCTCATCGTGGTGGAACTGCTGCTCGGGGAGATCCCGGACAGGCTCCAGTTCAGACAACCCTCCCTCAAGCGGTCGCTCATGCCCTACTTCCTCCTGACTCAGGGTAGGACAGGCCGCTCCTGCCTGCGCTCCGTCCCTCTCCGGTGTCTCGGCACAATGTCCCCGTGCTTCGAGGGAGCGGGAAGCCCTGGGTGGGGGAGCAGCGGGGGTTTCTCTCCCCTCCCCTTGGCGGGACCCAGCTGCAGACTCCACTTGGTGCCAGCCTTCAGCAGTCGCTGAAGGGCTGCCTTCCCCTGGCAGCCCCTAAGAGGAGGGGATGGCCGGCCTGGGAGTCAGCCCTGCCCTCGCGTTCCCCACCGCCTCCCGGCCCTTGCTCCTTCCCCGATTAACACATTCTCTCCTCCAGCCGTCAGGACCGGGAACCTGGCCAAGTTCAACCAAGTCCTCGATCAGTTTGGGGACAAGTTCCAGGCCGACGGCACCTACACCCTGATCATTCGTCTGAGGCACAACGTCATCAAGACGGGTAGGAGACTGCCGCTGTGGCGTTCGGGGGACCCCGTCGCGGCTGGTGCCACGGGCTTGGCGGGCCCGGGGCTGCCTGGCCCGGGGGGCTCCACTCTCGTTCCTCCCCCGCAGGCGTCCGTATGATCAGCCTCTCCTATTCCCGCATCTCCCTGGCCGATATTGCCCAGAAGCTGCAGCTGGACAGTCCGGAGGATGCGGAGTTCATTGTCGCCAAGGTAGCTGCCCATGACGTCCTGTCCCTCTGGGTCCTGGGCTGCCCACAGCCCCCCGTTCCTCGCTCCCCTGCCAGGCTGCCTCTGCCCTGTCCCTCCAGCGCTCCCTCCCTGGGGCAGTCGCTGGTTTTAGGTTGAGTCCCCTCCGGGGGATGCTGGGGACACTCAGGGCACCAAGTCCCCTCTCTGTGCGCTGCGTCCTGAGCCCACCGCTCCTGTCACAGCAGCCAGCTCCTCCCTTCACTCTAAACTGCTGCCTCAGCCCTCAGAGACAGCGGGTGCCCTGACCGCGTGCCCTCCGGCTTGCAGGCCATTCGGGATGGCGTGATCGAGGCCAGCATTAACCACGAGAAGGGCTACGTCCAGTCGAAGGAAATGATCGATATCTACTCCACCCGGGAGCCCCAGCTGGCGTTTCACCAGCGCATCTCTTTCTGCCTCGACATCCACAACATGTCCGTCAAGGTGAGCGCGGCAGGTCCCCGGGCGAGAGGCTGGCAGGGCCCGGCTGGAGAGGACAGCGGGGCAGAGTTGAGGCGTCTCTCAGCTCAGAGCTTCTCCTCCCTTCTTTTTTCCAGGCCATGAGGTTCCCACCCAAATCTTACAACAAGGACTTGGAATCTGCAGAGGTGAGATCTCATCTGGGTCTCTGCAGCCTGCTGCCAGAAACGGCTCGGGCTGCGGCTCAGCGGCCACCGAGGCCACGGGAAGGACGCGGCTCCTGTCCCCCAGCTGCCACCAACCTCTGCCTTTGCCTTCCAGGAGCGCCGGGAGCGCGAGCAGCAGGACCTGGAGTTCGCAAAGGAGATGGCAGAGGACGATGACGATGGTTTTCCGTGACCCTATGGCCTGGCTCTTTTTTTTTTTTTTTTTTATTTGTCCCTAGGGAAGATGCTGTCTCAGCGGAGCTCCCCCACGCAGCCCCGGTCCCCCGTCTGCCTTTCTTTTATAAACGCCTGCATGTCTGTACGGTGGGAGGGGGACAGGGGGGTTCCCTGGGCCCGCAGCCACAGGCCCTGCTCTGCCGAACCCCTGCCACCCACGGCGGGAAGCCCCTTGCCCAATAAACGAACATTCTTTTAAGGTTGCTTGTGGTCACGGTCGTTGCTGAGCCCGGCGGAGGCGCAGACAAGCCCATGAATTGGGAGCTTCTGGGGAAGCGGGGCCAGGGCAGGCGGGCGGCAGGAGCGCGGGCGCCCCGCCGGTGCCCCCAGCTCTCGCAACAATAATGGGGTCAAACTTTGTTAAGCTGCAATTATGACTTTTAAAATAAAAGTTGGAAAAACACCAGCCTGGCCTGCCTCTGCCGTGGGCTTCTTGTTGTGACTGTGAGCGTACGTGGGGCTGACTTCTGTTACCTGCTCCCCTCCCCAGGGTTGGGGACCGGAGCTGGGGCCCCGACCGCCCCCGGGGGCTGGAGCTGACATCTCGGCTGTGCTGGGACCGGCCCCAGGAGCGCAGGGACGGGGTGCCGGGGGCTCTGGGGGCCAGCCCAGAGCTGAGCCAGGGGCACGCGGGGCTCGACGGCAGCAGCAGGGCCGGACAGGGAGCGCTGCAGACAGACACCGTCTGCTCCAGCCCGCGGATCCTCTTTCCCAACAAACCGCTCTGTTCTGCTGCTGCTGCAGACAAAGGCCGGAGCAGGGATTACCGGGACCAGCACCGTGAGAGCGGGTTTGTGCACGGGGGGAAAGGGCTGAGCCCTGCCACCCCCTCACCCTGCTGGGAAAGGCGCGGGGGTCAGGCTGTGCCCTCCTTGTGCCCACCAGCCCTGGGGAGTGATGGGGACGTGCAGCCGCCCTGGGGAGTGATGGGGACATGCAGCCACCCTGGGTGGGTCCCACCAGCATCTGGGACCAGCTGGGCTCATCCTCTGGGGAAATTTAGGAATCTCCCAACACACCCATGCTGGGCCGAGGGTCAAGTGTGGGGCTGCCCCAAGGCGATGAACGCAGCCTGTCCCTGCTCTAAGACCACCCCTGGGGTATCTCCCAACACACCCATGCTGGGCCGAGGGTCAAGTGTGGGGCTGCCCCAAGGCGATGAACGCAGCCTGTCCCTGCTCTAAGACCACCCCTGGGGTCCCTGGGCCAGACCCCAGCGGCCAGGGTGGTGCAGGGAAGGCAAGAGCCCAGCCAGAGCCGGGGGTTGCCTCATCCGGCACAGGGGACGCAGGGACACCCTGGAAGGGCTCGCTTCTTGGCAGATCTCCGTTGTTTCCTGGGGTGTTGTGCTGGGCCAGCTCCCCCACCCACGCCCCAACACCCACGGGGTTTTGCGTCTGACCACCACTTCCTTCCTTGGAAAGCTGACGGGGGCTTTGGGCCCCACCAGGCGCTGATTCACGTCCTCCCCATCCCGATTCCTGCAAGCCCTGACCTGCTG